CTGTTATTTTTAGATAACAGTTGAAACTGTTATAGTTATTTATAAAAAACAGCTTAAAATAACAGCTTAAAAATAACAGGTTTCTTTATTTTACTGCTAAATATCTGAAAGAGTATGAGGCGGTCACCGCCAGGCGTATTAACGCAGTTGCAAGTTGCAACAATGACGTGCTCGGTGGTAGTATTTCCAGGGTGTCAAAACATTTCTAAATATCGATTGTTATCTAAAATACCTCTCTAAAAACGGTGGTTGTTTACAAATAAGCGCTGTTTACAAATTGCGCCAACTACCAACTACAATTAGCCACTCGAATTAATTTTACACTTAAACTACCTGTACCCGCGACTTCGTTCGCGTCGAAGATCCTGAATTTCTAATGGCAGTGATAAAGCAAAACAAGAATTTCCATTAACATACAAACTGGATAAAATTTTCTCACATTTGCCAAAAATAAGCTTTCTAACGTCGAGCAGTTTAAGCAGAATCGTGGTTAATCAATTACTCAACTTTTAGAACACCCTGTATGATTTTTTTTAAAAATTTCAAAATATGTAAAAAAAAATAAAATAAATTATGCGTATCCAGGCGTTTTCCCGAAAGACTAACCGTTTTTTAAATAACAAATATTGTAATATTAGAGGGCGTTTTCACCCTGTTGGAATTTGAGATTCGATTGAGTACCCCTCCTTATCGAACCTAAACCCCACAGTCAATCCGTTTGCCAAAAATCAGCTTTAAACGTCAATCAGTTTAAGCAGAATAGTGATTACTCAATGGTCATATTTTATGAAACACCCTGTATATATTTTTAAAAAATCTTAAAATATGTAAAACAACATAATAAAATATACGTGTTTTAAGAGTTTTTCCGAAAAACTCACCGGTTTTTAAATAAAAAAAATATTCTAATATTTGAGAGTAGTTTCACCCCCTTAGAATTCGAGTTTCGAAAAAATCCCTTCTTATCGAACCTCTACACACTAAAGTCAATCCGTTTTCCAAAAGTCAGCTTTTTACGTCAAGGGCTTTAAGCAGGATCGTGATTAATCAATGACCAGATTTTTCAAAACACCCTGTATACATTTTTAAAAATCTTAAAATATTATTCCTAAATAAATACCTAAATATTGAAACTTAATAAGTAAGTACTGAAACATACAGCGCCATAATATCTCGACCTCCGTCCGTTATGCTCGTAACAGGTTGAAACAGAATGTATCTAAAACAACTGATGCGTTATTCCCCAACCTGTTTCAAACCTCCATCACTCCGATTATCTTAACCGCCGCCCTGTTATGCTCATAACAGGTTGAAAAACAACATATCTAAAATGACTGCTTCTTCAACCCGTTGCGAGCCTCCATCGACAATCGACCGATGCAGCAGCGTTTCTTTCCCACTTCTGTTATCTCGACCGCCAGGCGTTATGCCCGCAACTGTTTCAAAAAACCTGCTTCTTTTATATCCTATTATTTTTCAGCTGTTGCAAACCCAATACGACCATCGACGGTTTCGACCGAAGCAGCTACGTTCGCCGTAGCGCTTTCCCCACTCCGTTGTCCGTTGTCTCGCCGCCTGTATCGATGGTTGACGAAATAACATGTTTTCCATCCATACTAGCAGAGATACTAGTTGTTTTTTGGAATTGCTTCGAGCAGCACAGAATTTCGTGGTGGTGTAGAGCGGCGACTTCGTTTTTCGTTTCACAAGCGGCCGATCTCTACGTGTCGTTATTTTATATCTGTTATGTTTTAGAAGTAGCAACAGTTGCGTTATGTTATTTATAAATAATTGTTATAAAATAACAGATAGTTAAATAACAACCCATCACTATATGAAATACCTATGAAACATTGGAAACCGACGTTATGCCACGATCCACGATGGTTTTTGCAGTTCACAGTTTACAGCACAGCTTTTTAAGTTTTTAATGCCACTTTTTCACAATTATCACCGGTTGGAGTAAATAAAACTTGAATTAAACTCACAAGATAGCAATTATTACTTTGAAAATGGACGCTATAAACACTTTTCGGAATTTCTTTAATGAGAGCGGTTTAGATTTTGAAAGATTATTAGGATTTTTGAAGATTCTGACTGTGACAAGAGAAAATTATTTCTGTTTTTGTTTGCCGTTGTTCTTAGCGACCGCTATAGCTGCGCCAGATCGCGTATAACGGTCGCGACCCAAAATAATTTCGCGACCTAAAATTTTTACGGGCTTTCCAATCTAAGCTAACAATGCAAATCCAGTCAAATGTCAACCTATATCAACCTTAAGTTGTCAATCTACGATTTTATCATTGTTAAATGTAATTTGTTGTACTGTCTACATTACTAAGTTATAGTACCTACGCTTAGTGTCCCCAAAATGTATTTTTGTAATTTAAAATTGTTTCGAATGAGGTAAAAGTTTAATGTTTAGACAATACAATTTGACAATACAATTTGACATTAACAAAATTATAGGGTGACAACTTAAGGTACGTTGGCATTTGCCTGATTTTGCATTGTTACCTGTTCAGTTTTAGTTTAAAAATAGATGCACTTTTCCTTAAATTACTTAAAATCGGCTTTGTCCAAAAGTGTTTAAATTTGGTATGTGTATTTAGCATACGTAGATCTTTAAAGAAATTGGGTTGGGTGAAACAACAACGTGCGCATATTTTAAGTGAAACTTCTTCTAGTCTGTCTGTCTGTCTGAGGACTCCATTCGGGTATCTCTATCCACGTGCCGAGCTTGGTACCAATCGACCCAGAATTAACAAAAATCCTGATGATTTCGTCGGTTTAGAGGCATCGGTTCGAAACGTCAAGGGCATCATCCTGTAGCCCGTCCCCAATTATGCCGAAATCGTCCCACATTTTTTTTCATTATCGAATCGTTAGTCCCACCTTGATGAAGATGTAAACGAAACGTCGCGTCGTATCCAACACTGCAGGGTTGCACCGTGTGTACCGTCGCTAACATTGCCTACCTTCCAAATTTGGTCGCGATCGGACGACATCAACTTTTGACGTTTCTTACGTCAAAACTGTCACGGTGACACGCGTCACGGTCAAGTTGGCCTTGGTCTAATCTATCAACATACCAAGTTTCAATTAAGTCGGAAGATTTTTTGATTTTAATCATTGATGATGGGGTTTCGTAGTGCACGAAACGTCGTCAAAATATCATAAAAAATCTACATTCCGAGTTTCAACCCTCCAGTTAACATAGGTGGCCGTAGCTCCAGCGTTAGTGTGTCGATCTGTGGAGCGAAAGGTATTGGGTTCGATCCTCAGCCAGTACCGTCGCTTTATTTATTTAAATAAAATATATTTATTTATCTAAATAGAGCGACCAACGAGCCGCCACCTCAAGGAAGGCAATGGCAAACCACCTTGAGTATATTTGCCTTGTACAGCCCCTCAAATAGTACCGTTCGGATTCGGCAATAAACTGTAGGTCTCGTGTACTTGTGAAACACTGATGACACACACCATCAAGTACATGCGAGAGGTAGCCGACGCTTTATACAGGGTGGTCCGAACTGTATTCCGGAAACTCTGGCAGCATATTCTACAGATCAAAATAAGTAAAAAAAGTTCGTATAAATGTATGTTCTGAAATACTTAGTTACGGAAATACAGGGTGTAGAAGTTTCATTTTTATTTCAATTTTTTCCAAATAATTTCTGAAGTAACGTCAATATTTGGATGAAAATTGGTATCTGGGAGTTTTGTGATACGAGAATTTTGATTTTGATGTCAAAATTACTACTATTTGTAGGGGGCGTCACCTACATGTGTTTTAACTGTTTTGAAGAGTAATAACTTTTCGACCGTACCTGTATAAAACCACTGACTAAAAAAATATACATTTCTATGACTTTTTATGTAAAAAATGTCTCTTGGTAAAAATCGCTACGAGCAACCGTTCTCAAGAATGGAAATAGTCAATACATGTCATTATTGTCAAAAGATAAGCACACGTTGATAGAGTTATTTGACTGAAATAATAAATTTTTATTTTTTTAAATTAATTATAAGTTTTTCTGCGTAAAATTATGATTAAATAGTTTCTGTTGAACTTTTGATACAAAAAGATTTCAAATTTATGATTTCAGTCTAATAACTATTTAGTCAACAGGTTTAATTTATGTCAATGATGACAGGTATTGATAATTTCGATTCCAAATATCTCGAGTAATGGTTACTCGTAGCGATTTTTATCAAGAGACTTTTTTTATGTAAAATAAGTCGTAAATGTATATTTTTTTACTCAGTAGTTTTATACAGGTACGGACGAAAAGTTATTACTCTTCAAAACAGTTAAAACACATGTAGATGGCGCCACCTACAAATGGGAGTCATCAAAATCCCCAAATATCTCATGTCAAAAATCACCTATCCACCAATTTTAATCCAAATATTGATGTTACTTCAGAAATTATTTGGAAAAAATCAAAATAAAAATGAAACTTCTACACCCAGTATCTCCGAAACTAAGCATTTTAGGACATACATTTATACGAACTTTTTTACTTACTTTTATCTACAGAATATGCTGCCGAAGTTTCCGGAATACAGTTCGGACCACCCTGTATAGAATATGGCACTGTAAGAAGAAGAAGTTAACATAGGGCCCGAGTTACGACGCTCCAAAGACCCATTAAAGGATGGGGCTTTTCAACCCCTTAGCTCACATAGGGCACAAGTTACGACGCTTCAAGATCGATACCATTTTTGTGACGCTTGGCGACCTTGGCGTGACACTTCGCGTAACGCTAGCTCGTGTGTCGTTGCCTTGAATTTTTACTCCTATCGCGCGGAAAGAAGTTTCGCTTCAAAAACCTACTTACAACTTTGCTGTAAAATTAACAGGGGAACCAATATCGGGACAGTTTAAAATTTGCATGCCATTTCCTATGTTCCCAACGACGAGGCACCACTCGGTATATAGGTTGTCTTTGAACTAAACCAACAACATTTACATGGAATATTTTATTTTTTTGTAGGTTAGCATAGAAATGACCAACATGAATGCCCGACAATCTGTTACTAGCGACGCTGTCACCATGACGTCCAACGGATCGTATGACGTGGAAAGCGTTAATGTGCCGATCACAGTCTGCTTGATGATAATGGTCGGGTAAGTAAAAACAAATCTCGTCAATTTCTGATGAAAGCCAATTTCAAAATAATACGCTTAAACGAACGCATTTGGCTATAGTATAGAGAAATGGCTGATTTTAACGGAAAATAAATTAGCTGAAAATGTATTTGCCAGTATTGAGAGTGAAATTAATATGAACAGTGCAAAGGTATTTGGAAAATGGAATATTTGCCGTGTGTGATTTGATTTTGCAAGGCTTAGTTGGCGTATTAATTATTTTGAAAAGCTAAAGAGAAAGACTGCAGTTAACAATCTAAATGATTTTTAACTTTGAAAGCAATACCGTATGATCGAAAAAAAAGGCGTCAGCGATAGCTATGAAATGAAGATCGCTGTCATTTTATACTAAGGTTAGTTTTGGGTCGGGATTTCCGTATGTAAGAAAAATACAATTTGTTTATAATGTACTCAACAAAGAGAGAACAGTAAAAACGTTGCCAAACGTATGAAATAAACCGAGAAGCTGTGCACATTGCTAAGAGACGTGAAAGGGGAAAAGCAGATTCATCGTGGTCGACCGGTCGAACCAATCAGTCATCAATCAGTACTTATAAAATTCTAGGGAAGAGTGTACATCATGGGTTTAGCTTCACGATTTAATTATGTCTTGTGATACTTTATTTGTTTATTTATTAACGGTCGTTGTAATTTTCCCTTTAGCTGTACGTTAGAAACAGTTGCACTTTTGGTAAAACTAAGTGGAATTGAGTTGGTGTTCGACAGTGGTCGCGCTATTAGAATTCTGAATAAAAAAATCGATATTTTGAAATCCATAGAAATAATTGATTGTAGTTTTTTTTTCAAAATCTTTCTTAATATTTCTGCTATATTTTCTTCACAGACAGTATGTGAAAATCTGTATAAATAAAAAAGTTACACGATTACTGAAAATTGCTATGCACTGAAAGTAAATGGATGGGTTCGTTAGAATTTTTGAATGAAAAAAAAAACAAGCCTATCGAATTTTTCTTATTTAAACATCTTGTATAAGGTCCGAATTTCAAAATAAAAAAAAGTTTCAATATCTAAAGTAGTTCTTGAGTTATCGCGTGTGAGGTTTTAAAAAGTTGAGTTTTTTTTTAATTATCGTGACAACTGACGTTTTCTCGTTATAAATTAAAAAAATAAAAAAACTCGTTCGATAACTTCTTTGTACTTACTCCCGTCGCGCTTAAAGAAGTTTCACTTCAACAAGAAATAATAAAAAAAAATCACCGTAAAGGACAATTAAAGTATTATCTTTCGTAGGTACATATGCGGCGGTGCCATCCTATTCTTCCGCTGGGAGTTTGATTCTGGCTGGACGTTTTTAGATGCTTCTTACTTCTGTTTCATCTCCCTGAGTACAATCGGATTTGGAGATTTTGTCCCAGGAGACAAAATCTACGGCCAAGGAGAATTCGACGAGATCCTAGAATTAAAATTCGTATTTTGCTCCATGTACCTGATGCTAGGTATGGCCTTGATTGCTATGTGTTTCAATCTAATGCAGGTGAGTCCATTACTGGTATTAGTAGTTAAAATAATACCAGATGATAAAAAAAAACGTCGTACTGCGTTGGCTTTGAAATCACGATCGATACATTTCGAATATCATTTTTCATTCAAAATAACAGCAATCGTCATTTCTAAGCCATCTGTCACGCCGTTTTTTTTTATTGTATGTATTTTATATTTTATATTTATATAACTTATTAGCTTTAAGTATTTAGTTTAATATAGAGGGTGTTCCAATATTCCGTGGATTTAGAACTATTACGTATTTTTGCACGACAAGTGCACGACGCACGACAGTCTTCTGTCTCTGTCTAACTCATCGTTCGGTATCGACGCGACGTAAGTCGGAGTTGTATCATATTAAGGCGGGGCTTAGGTGAAATCTTCGGTGGCCTATATCAATGTTTTTCACCAATATAAATTAATGAATAAATTGCAGATATTATATTATATTAATAATTGGCGATTATAAAATAATTTATGGAGAATAGTCTTGGAATTATATTTCCAGAGGCTCTCAAAATGTTTGTTTTGATTGCTACTACATCATTTAGATACAAGTACTTGGGTTGAGAGACATTTTTCATGTTGTACGAAATTAAAATTTTGTCGCCTACCCAGTCCCACGGGTCACGAGCCGCCGCTGATCTCCGCGTAATATTAGAACACCCTATACAGGGTGAGTCTTAAATAACTGCAAACATTTTTCAAACAGAGCTGGTAGATCTCGATAAAAGAAACATATTTTCTCTTTACCGTTTTTCAAATATATCCACAATAACCAATTTGACTTTGAATATTTCCAAAAAAGTGATATTTTGCTTAAATTTTGAAAACCTAACCTTGTAAATTTAATCTACTACCTATGTATGTTGCCATATTTTTTTTCGCAAAAAAAAACTCATAATCGTGTTTCTGGGGTCGAAATATACTACACCTAAAAATATTTGCACTTATTTAAGACTCACCCTGTATATAGGGCGACTCTTAAATACTTAACTACAAATATTTTTAGGGTTAGTATTTCGACAATAGAAACAAGTTTTATAGATTTTTTCCACAGCAGCAAAAAATTTGAAAAATTGACTTTTTTTGAAATTTGTTTAATTTTTTTGTTAAAAAACATAATATATTGATAACATGGCATCATAGGTAGTCTAACCAGAAAGAAAATCAAAAAATTAAACAAAAAATGATGTTTTTTATTTTTTAAAGTAAAATAACTCGATTATTTTGAACTCATTTGAAAAAAGCTAAAGAGAAAATATGTCTTTATCGAGATCTACCAGACCTGACCTGTGAAAATATTTGCATTTATTTAAGACTCTCCCTGTATGCTTTAAGTGCTTTACTAATATTTCCAGAAAAATATAAGATACTTTCTAAAAAGATGAAAAACCAGATAAAATTAAACTCATTAATACAAAATAAATCTAAAAATGATAAACAATCAAAATCAGTTTAGGGTTAAAAGGTGACCTAAAACTTCAGTATTAAAAATTGATATTGAGGGATTTGAAAAATTATTTTTGGAATGGACGTAAAAAAAGGCCTGACAAAATTTAATAAATGTTTAATTACTTTTGGACAAACAAGAGTAAGATGAGATTTTTTTCTGGTGAGGAAAATCTCTTGAAATAACGAGATTTTTAAACAACAAAATTCGAATTAATAATGAAAGAGCCAAAATCTTTCTTGCTGGAGTAAGTCTTTTGTTAATTCGAACGTCTTTAATAAAGCCTTGAAAGTAAATATCGTTTATCTATTATTTACATAATGTAAAAGGGTTACTTTTATAATTGGACCTTTTAGAAATATTAATGAAAAATGTACTATGTTACAGGGGCTTCCAAATTTAATTAAATTATTTATAATATAATAAATAACTTCTATACAGCTTAATTGAGGTTCATTTCCAGAAAAAAATCTGGAAGTAAAATCTAACAAAACTTAGTAGTACAACAGAAAATGCTTAACTTTTCAGGAATTATATCTGATAGTATATTATTTATCTCCATCGTCAGAAATAAACAAAGTCTCTCTTCCAGTGGACAAAAGCCCATATTTTTTTAAGGAATTTCTAAATATATTTATAACAAATAATCATAAATAGTATTTTTTAGATACGAATATACAATATTTTGTATAAAGTCATAAATATACAGGGTGGTCCGAACTGTATTCCGGAAACTTCGGCAGCATATTCTGCAGATAAAAAAATAAGTTAAAAAGTTCGTATAAATGTATGTCCTAAAATGCTTAGTTTCGGAGATACAGGGTATTGAAGTTTCATTTTTATTTCGATTTTTTTCAAATAATTTATTAAGTAACGTTAATATTTAGACGAAAATTGGTGTCTGGGAGATTTTTGACATGAGAATTCTGATGTTGATGTCATTATGACTCCTATTTATATGGGGCGCCACCTACATGTGTTTTAATTGTTTTGAATAGTAATAACTTTTTGTTCGTACCTATAGAAAACTACTAAGTGAAAAAATATACATTTATGGAGTTTTTTACGTAAAAAATGTCTCTTGGTAAAAATTGCTACGAGCAACCGCTATCAAAATATTTAGAATAAAAATAGTTAATGCATGTCATAATTGACACAAAATAAACACGTTGAGTAGAGACACAGTTTCAGAAATTTTTATTTTTTTAAATAATTAATCATAATTTTTTGGGGGAAATGATGATAAAACAGTTTCTGTTGAACTTTTGGCACAAAAACATTTCAAATTTATGATCTCCGTCTAATAACTATTTAGTCAACATGTTTAATTATGTCAATGATGACAGGTATTGATAATTTCGATTCTAAATATCATGAGAACCATTACTCGTAGCGATTTTTACCAAAGAGACCTTTTTTACGTAAAAAACTCCATAAATGTATATTTTTTTACTCGGTAGTTTTATATAGGTACGGACACAAAGTTATTGCTCTTCAAACCAGTTAAAAAATATGTAGGTGGCGCCCTCTACAAGTAGGAGTCATACTGACATCAAAATCAGATTTCTCATGTCAAAAAACTTCCAGACACCAATTTTCATACAAATGTTGATGTTACTTCAGGAATTATTTGGAAAAAATCGAAATAAAAATGAAACTTACTACACCCTGTATCTTCAAAACTAAGCATTTTAGGACATACATTTATATAAACTTTTTTACTTACTTTTATCTGCAGAATACGCTGCCGAAGTTTCCGGAATACAGTTTGGACCACCCTGTATACAGGATGAGTCTTAAATAAGTGCAAATATTTTTAGTGATAGTATATTTCTACCACAGAAAGTGACAGAAACACGATTATGAGGTCTTTTTTCGCGAAAAAAATTAAAATTTGGAATTTTTTTAAAAGATTTTGGATTTTTTTTAGTTTTTAGTTAAAAACATAATTTCTTGATAATATGGCAACGTGGGTAGTAGATTAAATTTACAAGAAAGAAAACCTAGAAAAGTGCCAGTGGTTCTCAAAATTTAAGCAAAAAATATTTTTTTTTTGGAATTTTCAAAGTAAAATAACTCGGTTATTTTGGACCTATTTACAAAACGGTAAATAGAAAATATGTTTCTTTTATCGAGATCTACCAGCCCTGAAAATATTTTCACTTATTTAAGACTCACACTGTATAAATGCATTTAGTTGGTACATATTATTATGTTTACATATGTTTCTTAAGTTATGTTATAAAGGGGTTTGAAAACATGGAATAAATAAAATATTTTCAAAAAAATCTATCTAAAGATAACTATTTAAATGGTTACTTTATGTTAAATGTACAGGGTGGCTCGAATTCGACGCTCATCATTGGGATTTCGGAAACCGTAAGAGATATAGGATCGGTTAAATGGAGGCAAAGTTGCGCAATTTGATGCTTAATAAAATGCCGTATTGCATTTTGAAAAATTCCGAATACTTCCGAATATATTCAAAAAAAAAACGTTAAGAGTTATCAACAGAAAAATTAATTTTTTATTTGGGACACCCTCTATATTTTTAATTAACTGAAAAGAATTTAAAATTACCTTTCCAAAAATCTAGCACACTTGATATTTTCTTATAATCCCCTTCGAAATACAGAATTTTTAAAAGTTCGCTACTTTTAACTAGTAGGCTTTGGACCCCTTATTGATGATATGCCCTTAATGGAACTCGGAAACATATTTTTCCAGCAAGACGACGCATTGCCTCTGAACGCTGAAGTTATACACCAAATTTTTTCAGCCAATTTCAAGAATAATTAAATAGCTGACCAAGATCCCAGCCGTTGGCCGTCGAGGCCGCCTGACTTAGTGCCCATGGATCTAATCCTATGGATATATTTGCGGAAGAATAAAGGTTCCTTATTCTTCCGTATAATCTAGACAAGAATTAGAAATACTTAGCAGTTATGAGAGGGTATCTTTCACCTCCACTGAGTTAATGAATTCCGCGAGAAATGTTCAAAAACTGCCCCGTCTGTCCATAACAGAAGACAGTCGATATGTCGAACACCTGTAGGAAAATCTTATGTCCTGGTTTGGTATTTATTTTTATTGTTATTAGATATAGTTTAAATGTGTTGATGTTGGTTAAATATATTTTAAATTGTTATAAAATTCTGCATCTCTCATAGCAAATATTATTTTCGTTTTAATTGATGCTCACAGCTAGAATTTTTTTGCATTAAGCCGGTGCCGTTCAAAGCCTACTTATTTAAAGCGGGCGAATTTTGATATACTCTATATCTCGAAGAGGAATCGAGCAAAATATCAAGTGTGTTATATTTTTAGAAAGGTAATTTTAAGTTCTTTTCAATAAATTTAAAATATACAGGGCGTCCCATATAAAAAATCAAATTTTCTGTTGATAATTCTTAAATTATTAATTTTAAAAAAACTATACTTAAACCATTAAATTCTACGTAAAAAGGTGCTTTGGAAATGTTTTCATAAAAATACAAAATTTTCCATAGCAAAAAAGTTACAGCGATTTGTGAAAAATGCATATTTTTGAAAAACACCCCGTAACTCCGAAACGGTCACAGATATCTATATGCGGTTTTCACCATCATGTTTTTGAGAAAAACTGAGCTCCAGACACCAATATTATATTTTGTCTATCTCGTATAGAAAAGGGTGTTTCCATTTAAAAGCGTCGAATTTGACCCACCCTGTACACTATACCGGATGCTTTTCAAAAGGGCCTACAACTTTTTTATTTTTTTTCAGCTAAAAAAACGAGGTTTGGTATGTAGTATGTCACATAAATTAGGGTTGATTGACGTACCTATTAAATTGTTTTCTGTCACTTTGACACAATACCAAAAATAGACTACGATATGCCATTCTATTTAGAATGTAATTTTCTATCGAACAAAGTAAAAAAATACCGAGGCTGTCATTTAAAAATCGAAAGCCGTAGTAATTTCCGGCGAAACTGGTAGTGATAGCAAAACAATTGAATACGTGATTCAATCCTGATTCACGTCATATACTGACGTACCAAATCTCGATTTTTATCTGAAAAAATACAAAAGTTAAAAGGTTGAGCAACTTTTGAGAAGCACCCTGTAAACTAAATTAATACAAAATTAAATACTCTTTGATGCAGTATCGGACACAGAAAAAAAAGTCTATAATTCTTTTTAAAAAAGTCTATATTCGTCTATATTAGACTTCTGGGTTAAAAATGGCGCCCTAAAAATCATATTCTAGATTAATTTTTATTTGACCCCTCCTAAAATATATTCCTTTATCCGCCCGTGGTTTGTTGTATATTTATATTGTTATTAATTAACATTTTAATTATCTAAAATATACCAGTTTATAAACATAAATTAGTATTATATAAACAATTATTGCATTGGACCAAAGAAAATCAAATATTCGTATATTTTTAATAATTGTAGTTTAATTATAATATATTTATAATTAGCGGTCGTAAATAAATTGTTTTAAAAAATGTCTATACCTATGTGGCGGATTCATATCTCCAAAAAAATCCTTTATGGGTATTTCGCAAAGACATCTAAATATAGGTATTTCGCCACTGCACTGCAAGAAAATAAATTATAATACTTTCATTATATTTTTTTGCCAAAATTATAATGAAAGAAGCGATAGCCTCTAAAAGAAAAATAAAAGAGGCTTTTTTAGTTCAATCTAATAAAAATAAATGTATTGCTCATGCATCTGTAGGTGTTAGTAATGTATGGGCAATCGCTTCTTTGATTTCAAAGAACATAACATAAATAAACATAACATACGTAAAATTTAAAAATAATCATACAGAAAGTTTTGGATTTTTTGGGTTTACCTTATTAAATAATTGTTATCAGGTAGTAATTGTTAATTTTGAAGTTTAACTTGGATATAATAGCTTTTTTCGTTTTCTTGTTATTACCGATTCTGAACCGTACTAGAACTCTGCAGCGCATGCGTAAATGAAATAATGTCTTCATATTTCCTTCTGCGCATACTCATCACAGTTCTAGGACGGTTTAGAATCGGTAATAACAGGAAACCGAAAAAAGCTAATGATATAATGTCATTTTAACAGAACGGCAACGGTTTCTTGTAGACTTATCTGTTTTAAAAAAAGTAAAGTGTTCTCGAACAGTTGAATTTAAATATTTTAAATAGTTTTTTTCTTTTTTCTTTGTATTTCTTTTTTGCTTCCGCCGACGGAAAGAGATAAACTTTCCGAAACGTTAAGCATTTTTTTCTTTGTTAGGCAAATTTGTATTACTGTAAACATAACTTCTGACAAGCAGTGTCCGTTTAGGTTTAAGGCAAAAGTGTTTACAAAAAAATAACTATTTTATTTTGTAGATTTTTTCTTGCAGTGCAGTGGCGAAATAAAGTGGCCCATAAAGGATTTTTTTGGATAAATTGTTTTATCGCAATATGTGTGTATACGATATACCCAGATATAAATATTATTTATGAATTGGCAGGTCTTTTAAATTTAAAAACTCTACTATATTTTTATTTTAACAAACTCTATTGAGTAATTTATCTTATTTAATCTTCCTAGTGTTCTTATTAGGAGATACAGACAAAATAATATGAAAAGTTTCTGGTTTGCTAACTAAAGTAACAATAAATTCAAAATGATAGTGGTCACTGTTAGTTTTATTATACTAACATCTTTAACATGTTTTATCACGAAACATCTAAATGATTTTGTTATATAGTTCCTTTAATCGTTATCGCGATGAAGTTGTGGAACTGTTCTAGTTTGTTGGAAGTTAAATTGTCACAATTATTCGCAGTAATTGTAGTTTAGTAAATTTCGTTTAATTTGAGAAGTTCTTTATGTGTAGATATACAGGGCGAGTCTTAGATAAGTTCAAATATTTTTAGGGGGGGGGGTATATTTCAAACACAGGAAGAACGTTTATAGTTCATGCATATTTTCTTTTAATCAAAATATTTTCGGAAACAAAAATAAATTAATTATAAAGTTATAAACAGTTATTATTAACATCAACAAAACTTACCTTCTTAACATCACTTAAGGGACATAAAGGGCCATTACTACTAGGGTTTCCGAAACCGGAACTGTTTTTCGGAACCGGGAATTTCGGTACCGTGCCTCTTAGGAACCAGGATTTCCCGTTTTTTCGGTACTTTCGGTACTGACTAATTTTTGTTCAATGATGATGCAGTTCATCAATCAGAAAGCAAGGGTTAGTTTTAAGTAAAATGTATAAAAAATTGAGATTTTTAATGAAAATAATATCAAATTATTAAGTAATCAGTCATGAAAAAATTAACATGAATACAAATAAAGAAAAAAGTTTAGGTAACTTAAATTTCACATGATCATAACGAACTTAACTGAATTTGAGACAAAAACCTTAAAATATTGAATTAAAAATGGAAATACATATTATAACATAACATAATAAATATTATAGGAACTTCAAAAGAGAAAAGAAGCAAGAACAATAAGAAATAGCATCATGACTTATTTAGAAGAGTGTGATTTCGACCGCTAGAAAGTATCAAAGGACTTTCTCACATGACAAAAAATATTTTTTTAATTATTGTTACCGCGGCCCGGTTCTGTGATGGCCAAAAAGATCTGAACCCGTCTGAACCCTACTTGGTAGTAGTATTAATTAGAGTTTCGAGAACCGTACTAAAATATTTTATTTATATAAACTCTACCAAGCCTCAGCTCCAAGTAAGTGTGTTTGTCCAGTAGGCCGCTGGCTTTATTTTTAGCGGTACGATCTGTGATTGTCACAGCTGCCGCTAGATGGTGTAGAGCGTCTAGCACTCGTCGTAGTAGTACGTTTTGTACTCAAATGCTATTCTCTGCTTTTCGTTTGTCAGATCGAGGGTTACAGCAAAGTCGGCCTGACGATGGAGATAAATCACATGAAAACAAATAATGAAGACAAGCGAAAAAAAACACATGGGTAGCTTAAAAATTACACGAAACATCAACCATCAACCTCGAAACCAATTTAACGAAATTAGAAAAAAAACTTAACATATTCAATTAAAGTTGCAATGCCTATAAAAAAACTAAAAAAAATATAACACAAAAAAGTATAACTAATACATTCAGAAATATTACACTAAATAATAAAATAACATATTTAAACTACATTAATTGCTCATAAACATTACAGAAACTTCAAAATAACTTATGATCGAATAAAAACGGCGTCAACGATGGCTATGAAATGAAGATCGCTGTTTTATATGTAAAATTATATGGGCAATGTCATCGATCGTCATTTCATAGCCAACGCTGACGCCGTTTTTATTCGATCATACGGTATTAGATACAACTTCAAGGTACTATTGTTTTTATTTTACTGAATCAAAATTAAATGTACCACGAATTTATTTTAGAAATGAAATGGCGTTATACATAGGAAGAACTAGAAATTCTCGGGCAATAAAAGTGACCTGAATTTTCCTCTCTTTGGCACATTCGCGTCCTCTCCGCGCAACACAACGGCTATATTGTGATATTGTATTAAAGCGAGTTTCGTGCTCTATTGCAGGAAGAAGTTATTAACAAAATAAGAACCACCGTTCGCACAGTGAAGTACATTTTCCGTTGCAGAAGATGACTAATTAAAGGATCGTTGGAAGAGTTTCCAGGAAACCACACAGTACGCCGTGAAAAGACTGAAAATGGAATTACGTTTGGCTGCCTTTATTTCTCTTCCGTACGAGGTGCGATTAAAATGTTCCCGGAAACTGCTACTTGACTATGTCGATTTTTTAAATGGATTTTTTTATTGGACATAATATGATACTGTCAATATTAGACATCTTTATTTACAATTATAATTATTTGACAATTTCTCGGCCACAAATTCTACTAATTAATATACTTTAAGCTTCATTGAGTACCTCTAAATTAATAAATTAGTGGAGCGGAAAATTTGTTCCTCTAATTTCAATGAAAATTCCATACCTGTAATTTTTAACTAATCAAAACGTGTTTTTTTACAAATCACTATGGTAACGGATAAATTTTATAGTGAAATTTTTTTCCCTTGTGGGCACCCAACAGCGAATTATACTGGAAATTTTTGACGTTTATAATGACAGAATATCTTTTTGAGTCTGGTTTTTATTTGTTTACATGATAATTTTGATACATTTCAATTACAAAATTGAGATGTTTTCTACAGGGTGAGTTTCCTACGATGTTCTCTATGGATATCACGGAAACTACTGGAGATAGAGAGTCGGTTAAATGGGGAAAGAATTACAGTTTTGTTGGGTCATAAGTATGCGCCTTTCAGATTATTGAAAAAGTTCATGGCTTACTAGATATTTTGAAAAAAACAAAGTTCGGCTATTTTAAAAATTGTCCCTAATTCCATTATAAGCTATTTTAGACAAAAAGTTTTCAGATAAAAGTTGTAGATAATCACATTTTTAATGAGACTGTGTCCTTCGCTTTTTTCTAAAGCCTGTCATTTTTGACATATGACACAAACATAGGTTTTTTTAAATGGAAACCATAGTTGGCCATGGCTTCATAAAAAGCGCCATTTTTTAAGCTTTTCAGCAATATAAACTATAATATGTTTTCTTCGAAAAATTACTGAGTTATAGCCAATTCCTATCATTTTTAAACAATTTCACTTAGTTAGCCATGGAAACAAGTTTAATCGTCTTTGCTCTCATAAATGTGAAGGTGTCACATCCAAACTTTGCAAATTAAAATAAATAAAAATTGTAAATATGAATTTTTCAAATGAAGAAAAGCGTGTAGGATTATTGGTTCAACTTTTCTTGACCATACATTTTCGAGGATACGTTGACCGGTGAATGTTACGTTTTTTAGAGAACGGTTTTCAAGACATGTTAGAAAAGTTAAATTTAGTTATAGCCAATTCTTATCTTTCTTGACTAATTTCACTTAGATTGCATGATATTATAATTCTGTTATGATTTATAACTTATAAAAAGTCAGAATATATTACTAAAAGGTTCTTTACAATTTACAGTACACAAACTAAAACTTAAAACAATAATATCACTACATACACTTTAAGTTATTTTAAAAAATGTTCAAAACATCCGCCATTGTTTTGAGTTGCATATTTTTAAAACTGAATTACTACCTATTCTCACAGAAGGACCGGTCGACTTAATTAAACTTTTCTCGTACCGCCACTTCGAGTGCCTCTCTTAATTCATAAGTTCTTTTGCAAACTTTATTGTTAACTATACCGCATAAAAAATTCTAAAATGGATAGGTCAGGTGATCGAGGAGGCCCATGCAATTAGTCTACCTCTTCCTATCCCTGCGTTTGTATAATTATGATATAAATAATTTTTAACATTTCTTTCATTATGGGGGGTGGGGGGTGGTGTGTTATAATGAAAGTCATGTTGGAACCACTCTATTGATGCGCGAATATCTACACGCTTTTCTTCATTTTAAAAATTCATATTTACAATTTTTGTTTATTTCAATTTGCAAAGTTTGGATGTGACAGCTTCACATTTCTGAGAGCAATGGCGATTGATCTTGTTTCCATGGCTACCTAAGTGAAATTGTTTAAAATGATAATAAATGGCTATAACTCAGTAACTTTTCGAAGAAAAGACATTATAGCTTATATCACTAAAAAGCTTAAAGAATGGCGCTTTTTATGAAGTCATGACCAACTATGGTTTCCATTTAAAAAAACCTATGTCTGTGTCATATGTCAAAAATTACAGGATTTAGAACAAAACGGAGGACACAGTCTCATTAAGGATGTGATTATCTACAACTTTTATCTGAGAACTTTTTGACTAAAATAGCTTATAATGGAATTAAGGACAATTTTTAAAATAGCCAAAATTTGTTTTTTTCGAAATATCTAGTAAGCCATGAACTTTTTCAAAAATCTGAAAGGCGCATACTTATGACCCTACAAAACTGCAATTCTTTCCTCATTTAACCGACTCTCTATCTCTAGTAGTTTCCGAGATACCCATAGAGAACATCGTAGAAAACTCACCCTGTATATTCTTTGGACACCTCCTTTCTTCTTAATGGCGAAAATGTAGGACTTGGAATGGGCTGAATTAAATGTCTATGTCTAATGAAATATATATCATATTTAGACACTATTTTATTCACCCTTTTTCCATTTAGCAATTTGAATTTTGAGTAGTTTAGATGCAAATATTCGTGAACAATTCGAAACAAATTTTCTTTCTTCAAGTAGGAGCCACAATCCTCTATTAATGCGGGTAAATAAGTCATCGCACGATGATTGATCATTACATCAGACAATATCACGCATATTTTGCATGTAGTATGATTTTCAAACCGATTCATTTTTACAACAAAGAATTTTGTTGGTTTTTCAAGCTGCACAATATTTTTTATTACAACAAAACGTGAGTTTTTCTGATATTTTGAACTGTCAAAATACGATGATCACAGCCTTTTATGATTGACGCTTGCTGACGCTGCGCTCTGGTTATGAATTCCATACCAATAAAGCGTTTATGAAAAGTTAATAAAAATGCAAAAAAGCAATTTTCTATCACTTGTAGTTACTCAAAACTTATGTAAAATTAAAGAATATATTGTGTTGTGTCTTGAGATGGTATTTTCGTGCAACTACAACGAGTAGAAGTCAACAATTTAAAGGTCTAAATTGCTGCCAAAACTGTGACGCGCTGTAAATCTGTTCATGCAGCGTTCCGAAAAACCTTTTAAATTATGATCTTCTACCACTTGTAGTAAGCCCAAGTAACTATAAAATGAAATAATATAATATTTTAGGTTCTAAAATGGCACTTTTGAGCTACTACAATCGGTAGAAATCAACAACAGTTTATAGGCTAAGAATTCATTGGTGACAGGACAAACTGAATCTGTTCATGTATGTATCTATAGAACTAATAAAATTTTTATCTTCTACCACTTGTAAAAGCCCAGAGTAAATAAAAAATCAAAGAATGTAATATGTTTTATTAAAAAACTGCATTATCGTGTAACTACGACACGTAAAAGTCAATAATATCTCATAGGGCAGGCTCAGAAGCTTTTGTTAAATTGTATGTCTACGTCAAGTTTTTAGTCATCTGCTTCAATAAAAAGATGACATGGCTGCGTTCGACTTAACGAGCCGGGAGCCCAGATAACTAAAATACAACTGAAACATTTTAATCACACCTCGTACTTCTAGACTTTTATTAAAGGTTTCAGAATTCTACAAATAGAAAATAATTTGTCCAGCAAGACAAAAATAAATTCAATTCCAGAAGGAATAATTTTAAATTATATTTGTTTATGTGTTTGTTAATTATGATGAAAAGTAGAAGAAGAAATAAAGCTCGTATAGAATGAAAGATAACTACTTTTATTTTTTTCTACATAGGTATCGAGATACATTTATGTATGTATTTTTTATTAATTATAAAGCTCTTCAGATATGATCTTGTGTATGTTGAAGTAAAAGCCAGAAATCGGTAATAGATAACAGATAATCGCCGCAAACTTATATCAACCAACGATCAGTCGTATCAAAGTATATGGCATGAATGGTTGTTCTCTCGGCATGTTCTAGTGCTTCCCCATTTTCCCTACATAATCTTCATTCGCCGTTGTTTCTTAGCTTCAATCTACTGAGGTGTTCGCTGAGATTTTTCTCAGTCGTAAGTCCTGAGAAATATCTTCAAGTGTCTTAGACCGTTGAAGTATTCCTATTCCAGTTACGGATAGAGTCTTCCAGGTTTTTGAGTTCTAATTAAGTTGGTTTCAACTTTGCAAGCTAAACGGTTCTGGTCTAGTTAGCAGTGCTTGCTTCTTGTTTAGCTATACAGGGTGTCCCAGAAATAAGTGCAAGTATTTTAACTGGTAGTATAGTTCAATCCCAGAAACAAGCCTATGAGGTTTTTTTCGCAAAAAATGTCTTTGAAAATTCGAAATTTTTTGAAAAATTTTTTGGAAATGTTTTTAGTTTTTAGTTAAAAAACATAATTTCTTGATAATATGGCAACATAGGCATTAGATTAAATTTACAAGAAAGAAAATCCAGAAAATATCCAGTGGTTCTCAAAATTTTAGCAAAAAATCATTTTTTTGGAAATTTTCAAAGTAAAAACACTCCGTTATTTTGGACTTATTTGAAAAATGATAAAGAGAAAGTATGTTTCTTTTATCGAGATCTTTAAAATACTTGCACTTATTTCTGGGACACCCTGTATAGAGGGTGCTAAAAATAGTGTATCTAACTTACTTCTAGCGGATGATTCCACAGATAAAAATAAAACAAAAAGTTCCTATGAACATATGCCCTAAAATGCTTCCATAAGAAGTTACAGCCCTCCGAAAGGTTATATAAAATAACATATTTTTTTATTTTTAAGAACATTGGTAAACCATTTTTCCTGAAAGTTGGTACTCATACACATATTTTAATGCCAAAGCGAATGGCGATCGTGGAAAATTCCGTAACAACCCTGAAAGGGTACTTTCCATTAGTAATTTCAACAAATGACATAAAACTGAAACGGTGAAGGATTTTCAAAATATTTGCGTTTAAAGATTACGATGCATCGACTTTAGTATTAGTGAAATGATAAAATGTAAAGAAATTTTAAATAAATTAATCTACTGATTTCACTAATACTAAAATCTAGTGAAGTAAAATTTCCTGAAACATTGGAAATATATGGAAATATTGGAAATATATGAAATATTTTAAAAAATAAGAAAAACTGAAATATTCAAAAACATCGCAAAACACAAAATGCTTATACATAAACACAAATAAAGAGTTATTCTTCAAATTAAAAAATAAATTAAGGTCAAATTTGTACAAAAAAAAATATTTTTGACACACTAGTCGAGCAAGAGGCATATCTTTATTGCTGTCATTAGCATCACACTCAATAACATCTTGCCAGTCTACTTCCTCAAAATCTTCAATAGTATCGGAAATAAAAATTGATCTATTGCCGTTTCCTATTTTCTTCAGCAAGTTTTCATTGTGGGATACATAGAGTAGCTTAGCGGCTCTATCATTAGTAAGCCTGTTTCTCTTTTTTGAATGAATATGACTATAAACGCTAAAACTGCGTTCCGTGGCAGCCAA